ACTCCGCGCTGAGGAGGATCCGCCTCCTCCCGGTTTTGCTTGCATTCCCTCGGCCTCTGCTTCATGTGGCCTTGTACGTCTGCTCCCGGCGTCAGTAGTGGTGCTCTTCTTTGCCTGTGTTGATGCTGTTGTTGTCGTTGTTGTTGTTGGGCGCTTCTTGGGGCCCCCTGGGGGACAGGGCCTCCTCAGGTGGGCCACTGCCAACTTAGGCGGGTTGCCCACAACAGGAAGCCAATCGCGATTCTCAATAAGCTTTCGGGGGAAAAGCCCTGAAATGCAGCAGCAAATAGAACAAGAGTGCAACTGCCTCAGCTTTAAGGCGATATGCTCCTAGCAAAATTCCCCTATCAAAGTTGTTTGAGGTGTTTAGAGACGCAGTTGTTGTACACAGAAGAGGGAGAGAGAGCAGCATTTAGAGGGTGCTATTAGTTGAGTAACATCAGATCTAAACATTATTCTATTGCTGTTTCTCAGCCTAGTTCTATTTTTTGGGGGAGCACCAAGCGCTGAATTGCTCACGAACAGGCAGATAGATCGCGTGCTGTGCACGAAAATTTCAACCCACCTGGCAGCGCAAACCAGTGAAAGATGCCTTGAATGATGTGCTCGTTTCCCGGCTTCCCAAGAGCATCAAAGACGCACTTTGGCACCGTCTGCCCATTTGGGAATACCCACCCGCTGTCGCGCACTACGAAGACTGTCACCGGGCCCGATCGTCCCATCTGGAGACACAGGACATAAACGACGAGGCATAAGGAGCAGGCTTCACCGAACATATGACACACACAGTCAGAGAAGAGAACATTTCATAGGGAAGCTTAGGCACAGCACACATAAACGGACTCAAACTAACCGTCTTAACGAGTAGAGCATTGTTTTGGAAGCGCGAAACAACAAGTAGGGAGCAGGCCAACCGACTCGGCAAGGGCATGAAGCATACACCAGTAGTAGCGGAATCCACGCAAGCAATGGCAGCAAAAAGCAGTGTATGAAACTTCCATCGGCACAAAGAAACCAAGCAGAAGGAAGCGCATCAAACGATATTTCCATCAGAATGATCCCGCACATTGAACGCGAAAAGGACNCCAAGCAGAAGGAAGCGCATCAAACGATATTTCCATCAGAATGATCCCGCACATTGAACGCGAAAAGGACAAGATGACAGACAAAACCGACACCAGGCTAAAGCAATTTAATTGAATTGCTTTAGCCTGGTGTCGGTTTTGTAGTATTCAGTTAGATTCAGCAGTGCAAGTCAAAGCACGCGGAAACGCGCCTGGTCTCTCAGTTCTCTGGGCAGTTTCTGCACGAAGAAATCCAACTTTGCGTATTCGGGGACTTCATGAAAGAAGTTAACGATTGTTGGCCCTGGGTTCCACCTGAACGGTAGAATGTTGTCAATTTTATAAATGAATCCTCTTTTAGCTTTGATGACTTCCACGACATTCGACTCAAATCCGTTCACAACAACTCGCAGTTTACGCATATCGCGCGTGCCGTTGGGGATAACTTTAGCAGGAGCCGCTCGATCTTTTCCTTTCGCTCCTTCTCCTCCACCGCCTCCGCCTGAAGGAGCAGATCGCCGTGCTGGTCTTCTCGTCGCCTCGGTGTTTCCTCCTCCTTCACCCCGAGTAGGCCGCCGGCCTGCACGTGCGTTCGTAGAAGCAGCACCATCGGAAGAACCTTCCGGTTTCTTATCACCGCCTTCCTTCTTCTCTTCTGTCCCTTCACTCGAGCTGCCACCCCGGGCGCCTTCGCGGCTGCGAGAGCTAGATCCAGAGGAACTACGACCTCGCGACACACGCCCTGCAGTGGTCCGTGTGCTATCACTCCCACCATCCTCCTCTTTCTCTCCTTCATTTTCTTTCGTGGTGCGTCTAGGTCGCGTGGTTGTCGCTGTCGTGCCTCCCCTTGGAGCACGAGTGGAAGAGCCCGCTCTGCCTTCTTGCGAATCCCTTGATGCTCGAGCTCCAGCTGTCCGTGCGCCATCTCTCCCACCATCATCGCCTTCGTCCTCTTCCTCGTCTTCCTCATCTCTAGTAGTGCGCCTAGGTCTTGTGGTTGTCAGTGTCG